GGAAGGTTCACACCACAAATAACTGAGAATATTTTTTTTGCTATTTTAGATGAAGAATGCCTTTCCTAAATGCACAGGTCTTGGTGTCCCTAGATTCTGTACAATCCTCATTTGGGAGCAGAACAGTAAGGTTTTAATTATTAGTCTAACAACAGTTTACAGATAGTCAGATGACTGACTATCTTTCTATAATGTTGGTTCACGAAAATGTGAAACTGTTACTGCTAAAAGTCATGCAATTTCTCACTGAATAAATGAAAATTCTATGCCCTTCCACATTTGTTCTGATTACTGTCTTCCTAGAAAGAATTTAGGAATCCCTGCTTATATTCTGATCGATGACTGAAGTTTATTCAGCCCCTAACTGTGAATTAAATATACAGCTGTTGGAAATGGCAACAAAGTCACCTAAAAGAACTCTGATTCACTGTTGTTATACTATTAAATAATCAGCGCTGTGTCACATTGAATTGATGTAAAAGGGCCTTGTGGCTGTTCTTCCTACCAGGAAGCCCTTAAAATAACCTTCTCTTTACTGACATTAAATCAAGAGGGCAGTATGGATACATTATAGATACAGGTGGCTGATCCAATTGAATGAAGTCAACTATTCTCAAATAGACTATTAGTCTTTTCTGTTTTGGCTGCTCTGTGATAATTCTTGAACAGCCTCACTGACCATCATCAAATCTGGTATACTACCAAAGAATAATCAGACCTAGCTTAGGTTAAATTTGTAAACCAAGCTACTATCTTAAAACAACATGATGCCCAATATTTTTAAATTCCTTTTTTATAATAATCATCTCTGTACAAGGAAAATGTCCTCTTTATATTATGTAATTTGATTAGGAGTCTCTGAAACATAAAGTACGTTTTTATAAAGTTAGCTTCTTCTAATAAAACAAAAGGCAAAACTCTTATGAGAAAGCTATCATTGTCAATTCAGAACATTTGTCAGGGGGAGAGAGGTCAGAGGTAGGTGCAAGGACAGAGAGAAAGAGAGAGAAACTACATTTTCCACAGTTAGCTATTACACAATGTGGTTACTAAATCTAACCACTTTGACATAATTGGAAACTTCCTAAAACTGTTACTGATAAAAAGAAAAATCTCCCCAAGAAATACCTCTAAAAGAAATGGGTCTACTAATAATTTCTGTGTAATTATCAGCAGCAGGGTTCACACAAAAAAGTCTGCTGTTACTTCCTGCATGTCCAGTGGTTCATGCTTGTGATCCAGCACCCTGGGAGGCTGAGGCAGGTGGATTGCTTCAGCTCAGGAGTTCAAGACCAGGACGAGGAATAGTGAGACCTTGTCTCTACCAAAAATAGAAAAACTACCTGGGCATTGTGGAGGGCACCTGTAGTCCCAGATACTCAAAAGGCTGAGACAAGAGGATCACTTGAGCCCAAGTTTGAGTTTGAGGTTGCTGTGAGCTATGATGTCAGAGCACTCTACCCCAGGTGACAGAGTGAGACTCTGTCTCATAAAAGAAAGAAAGAAAGAAAGAAAGAAAGAAAGAAAGAAAGAAAGAAAGAAAGAAAGAAAGAAAGAAAGAAAGAAAGAAAATCTCCGTACAACAATGCTTTCTCCTCCCTGCCACTTTAATAATTCCCTAGTATAAATATATCTGATTTTAGTCCTTTAACCGGGCATGGGGAGCAGAGGGACACAAAGAACATGAAGGATGGAAAGAAGGAGTCTGAGCTGGCTTAGCCAAGGATCTATCCTTCTTCCTGTAGGCTGCAACAACAGAAGTCTAGATTCAAGGAGTGTCTTCTTTCTTGAGAAAGTTATTTAGTATCTTAGAGCTACAGTTTCTTCATCTATAAGAAAGTAAGAGGAAGGATGGGAGGAAGGAAGGGAGGAAAGAAAGAAGATTCCTACCCTAGAACCTTGGGAATATGTCAAGATAGTCAGGCAAGGTCATTTACCGGTTAGTGTTTCTGAGAGCTGAAGGTTTCACTTTAATAAGCTTGTCCAAGTCTTGGCTGTTTAAAAGAGAAAGAAAAAAAGTCCAGATTAGTAATAGGATGGAGGGTTGTGTGAAGTCACTAAAGCAACATTAAACATCCATTTCATTCAGGGGCAACAGGCAGATGAAAACACAAGCTGACTGCTTTTATTTGATTACCTCTGATCCTTTCTGATTGCTGCAGGATTCACTTTGATGAGGTTATCAAGACCTTGGTTTCTTTAAATAGGAAAATAAAAAAGAGGATAGGTTAATAATTATGAAGTTCTTTTGGTAAGATTATTAAGGTTATAAATCTGTTTGAAATGATAATAAAATATTCTTCCTGACCAAAGCACATCAACGATAACAGTTCCATTACCTTTGGTTGTTTGTGAGGATTTCAGGGTTCACTTTGATAAGCTGATCGAGATCTTGGTTTCTTTAAGCGGAAAAATGATCAAAGCAGCTTAGGTTAGAAGTAATACAAGTTTAAGGTCATTAGAAATGGAAAGAAAGGATTATAGTATGAGACATATGGTTTTGGTATTGAAAGGCCATGAAATACACACCTATGGTGCATATTGCAAGGGTATGTGTCAAATCTATTAAGTGTACAGTATAAATGTCTTAACACAATAATTAAGTGAGATGAAGGCTATGTTAACCAGTTTATGTAAGCATTCCAAATTGTCTATAAAATCAGCACATTGTACCCCATAAATGCATTAATGATTAATGTATACAGATCTGATTTAATAAAAATAAATTTTTTAAAAAGAAAAGCCATGAAATATTTTTTTTCTAATGATTTTAGGAAAGAAAGAATTATACTGTATTACAAGAAAACTTTTTCTCAGTTCATACATTTTATTGCTGAGGGCATGCTGGGTAAGTGTCCCATAGCAAACATCTGATGAGTGAAAACTTTTCACTCAGAATATTTTAACATTATGAAGATACAAACTGATTCTAATGTCCTTGCCATTTGTAAAATCCCGTTACCAGCTAAGAGTATCATTTTTTAAAAAATAAACTCTAAAGCTGGGATTATTTTTAACATATGGGTTGGCAAAGGGAGCTGGCAATCCATCAAAATTGTGACTATTCTTTCCTTTATGATGACTGAAAAACTGAGTCAACTCAGTTGTTCGTGGGCAAACTAGTTATGTGTTCTGAAAACTGTCCACTCCCCATTGGAAACTCTGTTTCTCTTTTCAGCCACAGAACAGTACCTCCTCCCATATAGTTCACTGTTAGTTACTGCCTCAGGATAACACCTTGTTTTAAGGGTTGGAAAGTAGTGACTTTTTGAAGTATTCCTCTAAAAATATTTTAATATTTATTCAGAGAAATACAAGGCAGGCACCGCAGCAAGAAATTGCATAACTGAAAACACCTGCTTCCAGTACCATCTGGGAAGCAGCCTGCCTACACCCCTTCTCCCAACAGTTTTTTTTTCCTTATATAAGAATAAAATACACTTTGTCCATCAAGAAGATTGATGAAAGATCAGGAACTAAAAGAGAGCCATTTAGGGATAAAAGGCTGCACGTCCCCTCCACACCCCTCCACTTTTCCATAGCATGTGTTTGGCACTCATGGCTTCATTTAGTTGGATCTCGTCATCATGGTTCTCATATCCGCATGGCTGGCGGAAAGTCCCTAACTGAATTTTCACAGTTATAAATTACCTTCAGTAATGATATGTGCAATTAAGGACAATTAATTGGTGTCTAAATACTATTAAAAGAACAAATGGCATATGAAAATTATCCACAACATATAATTTCCTTGTACAAATTGATCACAAAATTTATTATTTTTATTTATTTATTTACTTTTTGAGATAAAGTCTCACTCTGTTGCCTGGGCTAGAATACAGTGGTGTCATCATAGCTCACTGCCACCTCAAATTCTGGGGCTAAAGTGATCCTCCTGCCTTAGCCTCCCAACTAGCTAGGACTACTGGTGTATGTCACCACACCTGGTTAATTGCTTAATTTTTATTTTTGTAGGGTCTCACTATGACCCAAGCTAGTCTCAAACTTCTGGCCTCAAGCAATCCTCCCAAAGTGATAGAATTACAGGTCTGAGCGACCTCACCTGACCAAAATCTGCTATAAAACTAAACTGTGCCAAAAAGACCAGTCCTTAAAATGTGGTTAAATCCATATATCTCAAAAAAATACAAAGAATAAAACTTTGTAGAGGAGGTGGTATATTCCAAAGTGATAGCTTTTCTTGATACATATAATTAATCACAATATTGTTTAGTATAACTACATATAATATTCACGTGCCAGGGACAAATAAGAGTAAGTGACATAGATAATGCAAAAACAAACATGGGAGCTTTCATTTTTACTGTTCTGTTGAGCATAGAAAATTCTATTTATCCAACACCTAGAACCATGATATTCAAACTACTGTTTCATAAAGCCCAGAGATCTCAGGAACGGTCCTGAATTGCTTCAATTGATAGCATTATGAAATTTATGAAAACAACAATGAAACAGACTTATTTTTAAAGCCCTAGATCCTGCAAATAAAGCAATCATATTTTATTTTTATCAAGGGAAAATGTAACATTTTTCCTACAGAAGTTACTGCTTTCATGTATTTGGCTTTAAGGACATAGTGAAGGACACATGAGAAGATTTAGGTATTATTATTTCCAGGTAGTTTAAAAGCTGTAAAGTGTTTTGCAGCAATTGCCACAATTGTGCCTTTGTAAAATCTATGAAGTCATCCTTCAAGTAATCCTGTGAGAAGAGTAAGAAGCATCTGGCCACCCCCCGAACAAGAGGAACAATCCTATCTTTATAGCTCCGACTGTTTACCACGGTGCTTACTTAATTTCCATATGTTTTAAGATGAAAGTCTATGTGCCAGGGTTTAAAAACTAGGGGTTTTGCAGGGAGTTAGAAGACTACTAGATGTTTGCCCTGGCCTCACTATTCTCACCTGTAAGTGAAGAGATTAGACCAGATAATCTCTGAGGCTTTGTCCATCACCACATCTACTCCTAGGAGTCTATGAATATGAATTTGTACCGCCCACATGTGTGTCTCATCAATGTCTCTTTCTCTTTTTAAATACAACTCACTGACAATACGTTCTATATTCAGTAAGCGGTGAGTGCTCTAAAATGTAATGTTATTAAACTGACAACCTATTATTGCCTTGTAGTAACATCTCTATGCCTCTGGTACATAATTAGCTTTAATCTATGTTAATTGCCTACTGCTAATAAGATTGAGTATGTCTACTGAATTCTCTTTTTGGCGTCCACAGTCTATAATTATACCTAATGTACAAGTAATGATACCTAGTTGTAAGCTGTGAACCCAGTAGGTGCCCAGTAATTAATCACTGCCTAGAGATCACAGAACTACTATCAGTCTTCCATGAATTTTCTTTATGACCCTCGTCAGATCACTTAACCTTTGTGAGCCTTAATTTTCTCTTCTGCAAAATGAATAGATTCCACTGGAACAATGGTTTTCAAAATTGTTCAAATTAACTGGCCTAAGATTCTCTAAGTTTCTTTCCTTCTACCTCTACAATTTTACAATTTTTATATGTACCAATCAAATTTAAAAACAGAAGTCATGAAAACAATTTTAAGGGGTGTGTGCGTGTGTGTGTATATATATATATATATATATAAACAGTAATGGGTAATGTTATTGTATCTTCATGTAACCTGAGACAAAAAGTGAATTTTATTATCTGACTGACACTACTTATAGAATTATCAAATTTAGGTTCATAACCTTGCTAGGAGCAGCAAACGTTCTAAAGAACAATGAACCTCATAAAAGTTCCACTGACTACCAAAACATACTCCACTAAAATGAGGTGAATGACATTGGTAATGATAAATCTAGTAAAGTGCCTCAGTCTTTTTAAAAAATTAATTATCATTAATAAATTTTAATTGATTCCAGGGACAAAAGGATTAATATCAATACCACCACCCAAACAAAACAAAACACAAAGCTGGTAGGCTCTGTCCCTACCCACCCACATCTCTGGTGGCTTCCTCCAGCTTTACTCCAGGCTAAAGTGATGCCATCACTATACATTGTTTTCAGCTGCCACTCTGTCTGGTTATTAACAAATAGTTAGATATCTAGGTTTCCAACTGTGATGATATTTCAAGATCTATCTTCAGTTTGCCCGTAGAATGATTATGTCATTTATATTCATTTTGTGTTTAGTCAAGGAGAAACGAAACAAAGCAAATGAATAATAATCTTCTCTTACCCAGAGGAGTTTTTGACAGCTTTGGGGCTTACATTAATATAGTCATCAAGACCCTGTGCACTCCTAAAACAAAATAAAACATAAAGCAAATGTCAGCTACAATAGGAAATCAGCAAGTTTCATATTGGCAATTCTTTTTCTTTTCTTCCTTTCTTTTTTGACAGTTGTGTATCATTCAACCAGACCCTAGTATAAAAAGTATTAAGTTTATCGAGTTTCTACCTTATACATGTATATATGACTTTTAATCCCCAAAACAAATCAGTAAGGTAAATTTTACCATCTTCCCTTTATAAATAAGAAATTGAGTTTCAAAGGGATTAAGGCACTCATAGGGGCCAGAGACTTAGTAAGTGGCTGAGGGTGAACCAAACTTCAAACTATAGTAAATGGACCCCAAACTCTACATTTCTTCCCCTTATCACTTCTTCTCCCTTCTGTACCCATTAATCCCTTACATCTGCACAATGCTTTTTACCAACATTATCTTCACAATAATTCTTTGTAAAGTAGCTTAGAGTTTCTCAGCCACGCTGTCATTAAATTTTGTGCATGCATAATGGGTCTTAATTTCTCAAGAACATGAGTAAATTAATTCGATGTCATACACAAATACTCCAACCAAGTATAAGAATGTTATTTCACCAATTTTCTCTCAGTCATTTAAATCCTTGGGTTTGTAAGAGAGAGTAGAAAGCCAACATTCACTGGCTCATTTAGTTTTATGAACTTATAATTTATTAACTATAAATTTGCAGTTATAATCTAGTTATGTTATTATTGCTGTCAAAAGGAATTTTTCAAGTAGTAATTATATAGGATTATCTTTAATATTATCATTGGAAACAGTGTTCTAATGAAATACATGGAAGAAAATAATAAAAAAAAAAATCTATCCAAGATTATTACACATCAACAAATCAATTTGTTCCCTTTTTTTCCCCTCATGTTCCCTTTCAAAATATTCTTAGCCAAACAATTGATTTTATTTTTTGGCACAAATTGTGACTTGCTCTGGAGTCTTAAATAATCCTAGTAACTCATCATTTTTTTCCTGAAGGGATCAATTTGGTAAGATTGCCTAGGTCTTGGTTCCTAAAAAAAACGTATTTTAAGTTTCAATAGTTAACAAAGTCAAATAAAGTCAATAATTTCTACATTTTTAATCTTAATTTTAAATCAAATAATTGTTCTAATTTAAAATTCCATACTTGAATTCCCTTTCCAGTGCTATATAAAAACAGGTGGCTACTATCAATTCATTTCTTGTACAACATTGTATATGTGAAAATTTAATTACATTTTATTCTTGTTTCTTTTAAATCATTCTCAAAGCAGAATTACTCCTAAACTCCTTATTTGCCATATCACATTTATGTAATAGAATTATAAAATTTAGAATATCTTTTGGAGATTATAAAGAGTAAGAGAAAAATTTAAAATAATTCATCATTTTCATGTGTTTCTTGCTTCCTCCATTCCACAAGAAGCAAATAAAAACTGAGACTTTTATAAAAGAGTTATTTCCACATTCTAAGTTATACTGGTAATACACATAATGTAGATATGTAATATTGATGCTACTCTAAAATATTAACTAAATCACTTTAGAATCCAACTTCATGCAAAACTAAATCAAAGCAAGAAGATTTCAGATTATGTAATTTATGCTTTTATTTTGAATGCTCAAATAGGAATTAATAGCTCTAAAGAGATATTGTTCTTATCACAGTAATGATAACCTGAACTCCAAAAATCCTGAAAAAGAAGCTTAATTTGATACACTTTATTATTGGACAACATTAAGAGAAAAAATACTGAAAAGTCTTATATCTTAATCTTTGGGACTAATTTATAAGCTCATTTTATTATGTATACATGTTGAACTATATGAAATTGTCATTTGATGGCCCAAAATAACTGAATGTCTGTAATTTCATAAAGTTCAACCTAACAGGATAATTTCTTCAGTATCTTCTTCAAACTAAGTATTGAGTAACTATGGAGATTCAATGATGAAGAAAAAATAGAAATAGTAATAATACAATAATATTAATAGTGTACATCGGATCATAAATACTTGAGCACTAAATTCCTCACAAGCATGATCACATTTAATTTTCCTAGTAAGTCATTAAGAAATTAATTCTAACAGTGATGACTTTACAGGTAAAAAAGCTGAAGCTTAAAGAAGATTAAACAATTTTTCTAAGACTATTGAGCTAGTAAGTGTTCTGTGAACTCAAAAATCTCCCTACCACATAAAAGAAATGGACACACAACCAAATGCAATGCTCAGCAGCATGTGGTTACTAAAACAGAGGCTCAGATACTGTATGGGAAAAGTCATATAAGTAAGGCCATCTTCACTTTTAGAAACTAGTCACCCAGGGAGAAGGACAGAGGACAGCTGTCTTTCACTGACTCTTAAAAAAGATGATATGGTCTCTGAATTCAGTGTCTGACCCTCAGATGATGACAATAAAATTACATTCTTATTTAGTGAACAAAATCTATGGACAATTTAACAATAAATATTCAGATAAAAGAGTATTAAATCATACTCTTTTAATAATAAAGTGTATGATTAAAATTTAATCATAAAGTGAATGAACCAATACAAGATACAAAAGTGGAGGGGCAGCAGGCTATATTTCAAAAGCCACCTCACTACATTTAGAACTGACCCTCTTCTCCCACCTAGAGGAAGTACTATCTAAGGCTCCACAAATGATGGCCCTCAAACTAAGTCTAATTCTGCAGCCTGGTTTTGTTAATAAAGTTTTATTGGAACACAGCCACATCCATGTTTATGGTGGCTGATACACTACTGGCAGAGTTAACTAGTTAAAACAGAGACTATTTTGGCCCCCCAAACCTGAACTATTTTACTATCTAGGCCTTTAAGAAGAAGTTGCTGACCTCTGATTTAGTCTAAACAAGCTCAGTTGGATAAGCACGTAGTGTAAAAGAGAGAGCATTCCTATATGCAAAGCAAGACAGAAAATCTGTCAGAAAGAAGCTATATATCTTGGTATCCATAAAAGATACTCATGTTTAAATTAGCATAACAATATATATTTATAGATTAATGTATCTATTTAACATGATGTGTCTTAGAGAAAATGTTCTCTAAGAAGTAAATGTATTTTTTATGATATCGACCAACAAGTATAATGTTTAAAAATGACTCCCCAACTTTAGAAATCATTTGGGTAGTAGAAATAAGAAGAAAGGTAATATCTGATGGAGGATGAAGGAAGGAAAGCTTTTTATCACATGAAGACCTTTCTTAAGGTTGTTTTCCTCTAGGAAATTGTTTTGTGGTAATGTTTTATCCATGGGCCATCTTCTTTATTCATCTTAAAATAAATCTTAAGCATGAAATACAAATCCCATACTGATAAAGGATCATTCCTATATTTCAAGGAATTCTGTCTCTCACAAAAGTCCACAGCCAGAGAGCCCTGAGCAAGGACTTGAACACGAGGTTTCTGACACAGAAACTGTTGATTTGGGGTACAATCACTGGTCACCTCCATGGTGAGGCAATGCATTTCATCATATTTTAAAAGTTCAATTGAGAAAAAAGGAGAGAGAGAAGAGTTTTGTAAACCTTACCCTTGGTTAATTCTGTTTGTTTCAGGAGCCACCTTGATGAGACTCTCAAGACTTTGGTGCCTTAAAATCATAGGGAAAAAATGACCAGATCAGTGGTAAATTTATACAAACTTGTTGCACATATTTGTTTAAACTGAGAAATATTTCTTATCATAAAATGTTTATTAAAATAGAGATTATCTTTAGAAATATGGGATTTTTTCAGTACTGTGAATATTTATCTATATGGGACCTAACTATAACTACCTAGAAATAATAACTAATGTTTTTAGAAAATTGTTGATGCACCACTCACTGTTCTAAGTGATTTACATGATTTATCTAATTGACTCCTCACAACAATCCTTTGATATAGGAAGTATTATCTACCCAAATTTATAGATGGAAAAACTGAGACATAGATTAAGTCATTTTCCTACCTGGCTTGTGGTAGCGGGGCTGGGAATTTAAACATAGGTGATCTAACTTCAGCACATATGTCCTTTACACCAAGCATCTCACTAAAACTTAGTAACTGAATTATGATTGGAAGTTCAATCATCTTACTAAAACTTAGTGACTGAATTATGATTGGAAGTTCAATCATCTTACTAAAACTTAGTAACTAAATTATGATTGGAAGTGTCTAGAGAGCATCCTGTCCAATTTTTCTTCACTTTGAAGATAAAAAACCAAATCCCACCATGTAAGAGAAGTAGAGCCAGAACTGCCCTCTTTCCCCTTTATTGTGCCATCTCTTTTGCTTAGGATGAATGGATGGATGGATAGATAGATAGGTAACGGCCCTTCCATCCTGGGGAAAGAGCTATGGACCTAATTAATCAAAAGGTACCTTCACTGTATCAAAACTCAACTGACCAAAATTCTTAACATTTTAGATATGAGGTAATCAGGTTACATGGCTTTTTTTTTTTTTTAAAGGATCATTGGCTTCAGCATCGGTCAGCTGAAATGATGATTTAATTATACTTTTAAGCATTAGTTACTATGAAATAAAAAAGAAGAGCTTCTTAACTCTTACCCTTGTATACGTTTTTCTGTTCTTGGATTCACTTTGATGAGGTTATTAAGATCTTTTGAACTTCAAACAAAAAAACAAAAACATGATGAATAAAAATAGACTTAAGTCAATTGGCTGTTTTTGATTGAAAGAATGTATGTGCTCAAGATGAATTTTACTATTTAGGGTAAGGTTAAGATTAGGGTTAAGATTGAGTAAAATTTTCAACCTTCATGCAAATCATTGGTATACACTGGCTTACTTTCCCATTTACCCTGAAAATTAAACCATAAAATTAAGGCAATAATTTTTTGAAAAAACAGATTAAAACATACATTGAGGAAAAGAATCCCTGTTCAATAAATGGTGCTGTGAAAACTGGAGAGCCACATGTAAAAGACTGAAACAGAATCTGCACCTCTCACTACTCACAAAAATTAACTCAAGATGGATAAAGGCTTAAACCTAAGGCAAGGAACTCCTAGAAAAAAAAGTTGGAAAACTCTTATAGATACTGGCCTAAGCAAAGACTTCATAAAGAAGACATTAAAAGCTATCACAGCCACCACAAAAATCAATAAATGGTACCTGACCAAATTTAAAAGCTTCTGCACAGTTGAGGACACAATAAAAAGGGCAAATAGATAACCCACACAATGGGAGAAAATATTATATGCATGCTATACATCTGATATAGGACTGATAAGCAGAATCTACAATGAACTCAAGCACATCAGCAAGAAACAACCAAACATCCCCATTAAAAAGTGGAGAAAAGGTGAACAGAAGCTTTTTAAATGAAGATACATTCTAATGGCCAAAAAACTCATGAAAAAGTGCTCAACATCTCTAGTCATTAGGGAAACACACATCAAAACTACAGGGTATAACTCAATGGCTAGGGCACCAGCCACGTTCACTGGGGCTAGTGGGTTTAAACCCAGCCCGGTGCCTGCCAAACAACAACAACTGCAACAAAAAAATAACCAGGAATTGTAGTGGGCACCTGTTGTCCCAGCTACTTGGGAGTCTGAGGCAAGGGAATCACCTAAGACCAAAACTTTGAGGTTGCTATGAGCTGTGATGCCACAGCACTCTACTGAGGGCAACATAGTGAGACAGTCTCAAAAACAAAAAATTACAATGAGATATCAACTAAACTCATATGACAATGGCTTATATTAAAAAGTCCCCGAACAAAGGTTCCCAGCATGGGTGCAGAGAAAAAGGAACTCTTACACATTGTTGGTGGGACTGCAAACTAATGTAACCTCTAGGAACCTCAAAGAACTTAAAGTAGACCTAGCATTTGATCCAGCAATCCCACTGCTGGTTTTGTGACCAAAAGAAAAAGAAAAAGGTTATTTTATAAAAAGGACATCTGCCCTCAAAGATGTGGTATGTACACATATCTGGAGCAGGGGTCCTCAAATTTTTTAAACAGGGGGTCAGTTCACTGTCCCTCGGATCATTGGAGGGCCAACTGCAGGGCCCAGGACAAGTTGGCTGCTAAGCAGGACAGGCAGTGGTGGCAAAAACACTGGGCGGGCCAGATAAATGTCTTAGGCGGGCCGCATGTTTGAGGACGCTTGCTTTGAAGGACTACTCAGCCTTAAAAAGTGGCAAACTGGTATCTTTGGACAACTGGAGGGAATTGGAAACCATCCTTCTCACCAAAACATCACAAAAATGGAGAAACAAACACATGTTGTCAAATTGGAACTAATTAGTCAATACTTAAGTACACATATGGAAGTAAGTATCAATGAAAATCAAGTGTGGGGGAGATGGGTAAATTCACACCTACTGGGTGAAGAGCACACTTTAATTCAATCTGTACAAAAACAAAGTATGTAAACATTTTTACCCCTGAACATTCTGAAATTTTAAAAATGGAATTTAAATAAATAATAATTTATATATGAAAAAAAATAAGGGACGACTATATTTTAAAAAAATAATTCAAAATGTAATGATTTCCCAAAAGCTCTCACCTGGGCTAAGCATTACATCTAATGCTACAGCTATAATTAAACTATGTTTTCTTACTAATTCCTCTTTGTAATACATTTTTGTTTCAAACAGATTTTACCTCCATTATTTCACTCGATTCTCACAACTATTGAGTGACACAGAAAGAACACTATGATCCTCATTTTGTAACTAGAGAAGCTTCTACTCAGTGTTCAAAGGACTTGCTCAAAGATACCCCACAGGTTAACTGGTGGAGTCCAGACTTTCTGATTCCAAAGGGTTATCAAGAAAGGGAAGGAAGAGAGACAAGGCATAATTCTCACCCTTGGTTACTTCTATTTACTTCCGGGGTCATGTTGATGAGATTGTCAAGGCTCTGGCCCCTTTAAAATAATGGTGAGGTTAATGGTTGACACTGAGGGAATAAATTATTCATTACAACTCAGAAACAGTATAAACACTCAGTAATATCATGACAGAAAACTGAAAGTTGTTGAAGGTGACTGTGCAGAAGTATATATCTCTGAATATATATATTCAAACTCAGCATGACACTTTGAAGGCCATTTGGCCACCACCAAGTACTTCCCTGGGACACTCTATTTTGATGCACTTAATGCCATGCTTTCAACCTTTGGCAGGTGCACAAAACATCTTTGTAACTTAGTCTATATGCTTGTTTTATGGAGCATTTCATAAGGCATACTCTGTACTCCTGCTGTCAACCTCCAACATGTGGGATGTTAAAACCAACTTTGGAGAATCTGCGTTTTTTTAAAATTGACATTTAGTAGCAGATGTTCTATCACAAAACTGTATTAAGATTAATACACCAATTTGTTAAAAATTCATGATATGCAGCCTGGTGTCTGTTTCTGGTATGTACGTGTTACCACTATAAATTTTGACTTGTATCAGTAAAAAATATAGGAAGATTAAAATCTATAGGGTTCTGAAACATTCTGAAATGTAAGCTCTGTTATCTAAGGAGTACGGCGCTGGCGCCATATGCTGGAGGTGGCGGGTTCAAACCCAGCCCCGGCCCCAGCCAAAAACCACAAAAAAAATAAAACTCCACACAGATGCGGAAAACCCTTCAGTTGTTTGTTGTCACCCTGTAGTATACGTCTGTTTCTCATCTCAGAGGAATGAGATTTGATTTTCTTAGTGCATCTGCATGTGTTTGCCACATGCCAGCAGCACCAGCAAAGCTGCTCTGATCTGCAGAGGGTGCCACGTGGGGGAAAGAACATCCCCAGCAAGACACCTTCACTTTGTGCTCTCCACACTCTGTGACCCTACCAAGATCATGTCAAAAAGTCACTGAGGTTTTATCTATGCAACATCAAAGACACAGATATTTGGAATCAACCAGATGTTGATTCCAGTTTATTGTTTGTATCCAGATGTCTGAGAATATGATACCCAGACTAAAAGCAGCAATAAAACATTTGGACCTTTGTCATGCAAATAATGAAACAATTAGCCCCATGGAAACAACCACTCTCCTCCAGATTACCCCTTGCTGATTTTTGCCTAAATGAAGTATGTGGGATGTGAATGCCAGTGATTGAGGAAAAAAAAAATTCCCAGAATGCTATTCCCAGATTTGAATAGTCAAAAAAATAAATAAATAAATAACAACAGTAAGCATTAGAATGCCTCCTTTGTTTGTGTTGACTGTGGAGTTTGCTTTGATTATATTGTCAGGACTTTGCTGTCTTAGACCTTAAGTACAGCACATAACAGTATAAGGTTATTTAAATTTCATAGTTTGCAGAGTGAGTGAAGAAGAGTGGGTTAATTAATGTTGTACTCTACTAATTAGTGTGATAATGGAAAATAATATTTGACTTTGACTGTGTGAAGCATGCCTTGTAGTGTACACATCTTCAGTATTTATCAGTCTTTTACTCCACAAACTGTCCTGGAAACCCCAGGATAGACCAGACTCTTCCTCAAATGCTGAGGCAGATGTAAACAATACAGACAAAGGAATAGGCCTCCTGAGGCTAGGGTAACCCGGGGAGAGGCAAATAGACAATTAAACATGTAAACAAATGCCAGAATTCCATGCAACCATATACGCTGTGAAGAAAATAAAATAGTGTCCAGTGCCAATAGTACTGGGGGTGGGGGAGAAGGTGGTGACATCGGTATGTTCAGTGGTCAGAAATGACCTGTTTGAGAAGGTGACAAGATGGGGACAGAGCATTTGAGAGCCTGGGAACAGCATATGCAGAAGCCTTAAGGCAGGAATGAGCCTGGAACAGGAAAAAAAATTAATCTGGCTAGATTTTACTGAGAAAGTAAAAGGCCATTGCTAAGTGTAAGAATTTTATTCTACTTGAGATAGGAGAACAGTAGAAGGTTTTAATAAGGGAGTAAGCATGCTCTGATTTTATTTTTTAAATGATCTATGGAACCTCATTATGTGTAGAAAAGGAGAATGACAACTGCTCCCCCAGGAGCACACATACAAATGCAGACCCCTGTACACACAGCACTTAACACTCGAAAACATGGGAGCACATGCATCCACATATGTGTGCGCTCAGTATACACAAAGCACACACATTCTTACAATATGCTCATGGACAGAGAAGCATTGTGTACACGTATGTCATCATGGACACGTACAATGTGCATCCAGGTAGGCTGCATGTGCACCCACACACAGACACATATATCCACACACTCATGAGCATACAGGCATAAGCACATGTGAATGTACTCATGCACACAAATATTTGTATGCATTCATGCATATATGCACACACATAGGTGTGCACACATGTACATGAAACAACATGAAGATCAATAAACAGGTACAATTTGAAAAACTCTATTAAAAAATCAGAAAAGAAAAACAAGGATTTTCTTTGGACAAAATAAACCAAATATTTCAACACTATCTAAACCACTAAAAACACACAATTCACCTGAATATTATTGTAACAGTTACTTATACACCCTGCCTGCCAGGCATCTGTAGATGAGTAAATTAAAGCTCAGGGACACAGCAAGTGACAGAGTCAGAATTTGAACCCAGGTCTTTCCAACTCCCTGCTCACTTTACTACCTCAGGTTACCTCCATCAATCGCCCAGGTAATCCATGCCTCCTTCTCAGTCTGTTGGCTGAGAGATTATACAAGCCTCTAACTCGCTGGGTCACCGTGCCATTGACTAGGCCACGCCACCACGAGTGGGACAGCTTGGCAGGGTGAACAACAGCTTTTTAGCTAGCCGAGCCCTTGCTCTGCCAACTGCGCCTGCAGGCATCTGTGACACATTTTAGAATCAACAAATAATATCATGGACTGAGTTAACTAAATGAAAAGGAGTTCAAGGGAAACCACATGGAATTATTTGGGACATTATTTTCAGAAATATGCCAACGAGCTCAGCCTCATAAATATCCTATCTGCTTTCTTAAAAAATAAAAAGCCAAGGGGATGAAACCTTTCCAGACTTACTTGAAAATTCACCAGTAAGAGAATTCTTTTAACAAAGTACATTCTGTTAAACGCTTCATCTTTAAATACAGATTACACTACATATACACACTCTACAGGCAAATACACTAAACATGTTCTCATGTCCATACATATACACATCCATATGCTTCTTACACAAACACTCACATGCACTCGCTGATACACACACACATTACATACTTAAATATACACACTACTTATACATACATGCTATGACACACTCATGCATATACACATACACTTATGTGTGCATACACTACTTATACTTACATGTACTCACACATACACACGAAAAATCATTTAGCTCAGTAGAAAACATCAATCAAACTTTCCACCTAATTTCTCAAAACTATTTGGCAGCACGCTCCACCCAAAAATAAGAAGCGGGAGACTTACGTGCATCCTTCACATAGAATTGCTTACTATGATGTGTTAGGAGAAAAAGAGGTCAGTTTTAGTTGTGTTTCAATTTGTTCTCTGAATACAAGCACTCAGAATTCTAATGTGCTTATAAATGTCAGACAAAGAAGGGAGAGCTTTAAATATCTTACCTCCTAATATTTTTATTTGTTTCAGCATCCACTTTAATAAGCCCGCTGAGGTCTTGTTTTCTTTGAATAAAGAAATGAATTTTAATGAATGTTGTTAAAATAAAACACTAATCAAGTGAATAACGGTTGAGAAATTTAAGCGGTAAATATACAAGTTCTTTATATCAATGTAAAATTATAAAGCTCTAATGTAAATAAAAATTCTTACATTTTGAGCTAAAGACCATTTAAGGTTCCTTATTTGATAGCAACAAGCATACGATTTTTTGTTTTATTCTCAAAATATGTAAGTATGTATGAAAATTGTTATTTAATAAAATCAACTTTGCCTTCAGATACATTTTGTTAGAACATTCCAAATAGGCAGCATTGAAGTAATATTAGATAAAATTCTAACTGGATCCAGACAGAAAATAAACTTCTACTCAATGAATCACATATAATTACCTAGTCTGTTTTTAAATAGTTAAGAATATTGTCAAGAATAATCATTGAATAATATTAAAAATAAGAAGAAGATTATATGTTTTCATATAAACTCAATTATCTCCCCAGCCCAAATCTTATTAAAATACAATTTGCCCCAGAGTAGATTTAGGTGAGCAATAAAGCACAAGAAAAAAATGCCTTGCATAGTAGAGACATTAATGATTTACTTTCCAGGGGGACACATGCCCCCCTCCAATAAAATGGTAAAACTATTTGGTAGCACGCTTCACCCAAAAATAAGAAGCGGGAGACTTACATGCATCATTAAGTGATAACCAAAGGGGCATAAGTTACATCCAAAAGGACAGGAGGGATGGCAGAAGCCCTGCATCTGGGTGCTGCTGACCTATCCACCCAGCTCTGACCACCACATTAAGGGTGAGGAGTCCTCACTCTCTGGGCATAACTGCCCAGCCTCCCCCTACTCCGGGCTGGCTCCTGAGGCCACCGTCCTTAAAGAAGCTGATTTACAAGAGCCCTGCTCAAGGCTTCCTGTTGGCTACTTTTGTCATATTGGAAATCCACTTTAAACATTGTGTCAAGACTGTGTTTGACACAAAGAAATTCAATTCAGTAACTCACCGTTAAAAACAAGTAGAACCCCAGATCTTAAAGAAAAGGCAATATACTATCAAACATTAGGACAATTCTTTAAAAAAGAAGTGGTTTTATTGAGAGCAAGAAGGGATGTGGTGTGGCCCATCTGTATTGCCCAACTGCATGCTAATAAAATATGGTTATGAAGCTAAAAGATCAAGTCATTTTATCTTTTGATGGATAATGTGATCATTGCTTAGAGAAACCAGAATTAAAGATGCTGATAAGTCTTACCCAGTGGTATTCTTTTCATTTCCCCTGGGATTCACTTTCATAACATTACCGAGGTCTTCACCTCTTTTATAAAAGAAAAAAATTAGGTAAGTTTCAAGATACTCCCACAACATTAGATACATACACATTCTATATTCTTCATTAATTCAGGTGTTGGAGAAAACTATTATACTGACATTGAATTAAGTTTTTGGATAAAATTCCCTATCAATGATGTAGTTAAATTAATCTTTAGTGTTTTATTGGGCTATATATAAATGTCAATTTAAATAGAATATACTGTATAGTCTTTGAAGTAATGATCAGGACCCCAAGGATCAGACACAGAAAAAAAAAAAGACAGACTGAAAAATGGGATGCCCTCCATATCACTAAGATCACACAATTAATCTGGAATAAAATAATATCCAGAGACATTCAAGGAGTTCTTACCCTCTGCTGGCTTTGTCTATCCTGGCATTCACTTTAATAACAGATTCAAGATCTTGGCTTCTTTGAAAAACAAAACAAAACACCAAAGCTTTATGTCAGTTAGGTTACACGCAGTTTTCTCTACCATCTTTTTTTTGTTTGTTTGTTTGAGACAGAGTCTCACTATGCTGCCCTTGGTAGAGTGCTGTGGTGTCACAGCTCACAGCAACCTCAAACTCTTGGGCTTAAGCAATTCTCTTGCCTCAGCCTTCCAAGTAGCTGGAACTACAGGTGCCCGCCACAATGCCCAGCTATATTTTTGTTGTTGCTGTTGTAGTTGTTATTGCTGTTTAGCAGCCCCGGGCTGAGTTCGAACCTGCCAGCACAGGTGTATGTGTCCGGTGCCCTAACCACTGAGTTATAGGTGCTGAGCCTCTAACATCATTATAAATAAGAATATCCCTAAATGTGGTATCAGATATTTTTAGGCCCAAATGACCAGAAAGGCCTTTTATATAATTATCTTCAACTTATCTTTATTAATTTCTATAGTAGTATTCGGTTTATTAAACTAGTCTAAATCAGTTTAGAAAGGCTTTTCAACATGTCTCCCAGTTTGCAATTTTGTCCTTTATATTTCTTAAATTAACTAAATAAAATACTTGACTCTTTCTTTAATCATTTAAGAAAACACAGAATAAAGGATTATGTAGCAGGTTTTCCTGCACCTACTTCAACACAGATCCAACACGTAGTCCTTTGGAAGCAGCTCTCACTATCCTTTCCCTACTATTTCAGAAGTGTATACGCAGTGCAAGAATTCACCTGTGACAGAGGAAATCATAACCTCCCCATTTCTAATGAGGTGTAAAAAGCCAACCTGAAAGAAGAAAGCCCCAGCAAAGTAGGTTTACTTACCTCTTCTCATTTTTGTCTGTCTTTGGATTAACTTTATTAAGACTTCCAAGGGCTTGGGTTCTTTATAACATCGGAAAAAAAGAAAAGAGAGAGTGAAAGAGAGAGAGGTCAGAGCAACTCAATGAATGACTATTCAGAACTTCTTGTGACAACAGCAGATTTTCCACAACAGAAGATGTGATCGGTGCCTAAAGGATCAGAAGTCCTTGGACATATTTAGTTCAAGTGGCTCTATTCCTCATGCAAAATGCCAAAGAGGCAGCCTGATGCTAAGATAGCAGTTATAATTGAATCAACTGCATTGATTCAGTTATAACTGAATCAACTTCAAAGTAAAAGTTTCACCAGGTCTCAGCTTTTATTTTCTTGAGCGTGCATTGCTGGGAGGCTGACTTGAATACACATGTTGTGATATGTATTTAAGCATGAAAATCATTCACATCAGGCATAGAAATCAACTGATAGACATTTGAGTTTAAATATTTTGAGGATTTCAACAAACTATTTCTCAAACTATACACAAGAGTGTATTTATCAAAAGGGCTGAAGTCACCTTAAAAAAGTCAAAATTTTATTTATTTTGTAGCATAAATTAAGTTAATTAATGATTAATAGCACCATAAAACACCTTTATGGCTCTGGTACTTTACATAAATTGAACAAATGGAATAAAATTTTCACATGCAATATGATTAACAGTTGACAATTTAAGTAAAATGGAAGGAAGGGAGAAAGGAAAGAAGGAAAAAGAACTAGGACTCTCTCCTTCCCACATTGACAAGATTAGGTATTTCTGTATAGAAGCCCAGTTGCTACCAAGTTATTCCAGATTATAAATTACTTCTCTTTCCTCCTTTTTCCTAACCCACAAATGATCTACTTGTGATGCTTATCCTACTTCCCCCATTATCCATCACAACTTTTGTGGAACTCTCCACACTCCCTTTTAAAAAATGTTACCTGGATGGAGTTGAAGCACATTCTTCTTAGTAAACTATCACAAAAATGGAAAAGCAAGTATCCAATGTACTCAGTACTGATATAAAACCACTAGATACACAACTATATACCCACAAGAAAGAGAAACATAATTATATCCGAGTAGGAGAGAGGGAGCAGGAGAGAAAGAGGAAAGGGGAGGAGAGAGAGGGCTGGTAAGCTCTCATCTAATGTGCACAGTGGAAGAGCATGTAGCACACCCCCTGGGTGAAAGACTCAACTACAACTTGAACTTCACCTTAGAAATACAAACAATGTAACCTAATCAGTTACCCCCTCATATTAATCTGAAATTTAAAAAATAAACCCTGACATCTCATCTATTCCTGAAGCTCATATAGCCATGTACAGTAAATTGCCTGTTTTCTACCTTCATCTATTCCATATTTGGAAAAAAATCACCTCTAGCATATTGGCTTGTTTACATAATAATGATGTTTTTAATAAGCTTTCAATGTCTGTGTGACGGTTACTGCCAACATTTTTCATTTTATAGACTTTGTTAAGTGTCCTACTTCAGAAAGGGTTGAGAAGCATCTGCCAAGATTGACTTGGAAAGCTAAATACCATTCTGGGCACAGACTGGCACAGATAAATGGTTTTAAAAATAACTATGACAATAGAAATAATTTTCATGTTAGAAAGCCAAATTTAATGACTAACCAAATCCAAAGTAAACAGGGAAAAAACAGTAGACACTTCAGAAACCTTACCCTTTGAAATTTTGGACTTTTCTTTAATGAAACTATCAAGACTTTGGCTTCTTTTGATTATAAGTTAATCTCTTCTCTTAAATGCTATCAGTTCAGCTATTAATCATTAATTAACTCAATTTATGATACAAAATAAATAAAAGCATGGCTTTTGGCCTTGCGATATTTATAAATACATATGAAGAAATACACAGATGGAGTGATTCAATCAGGATCCCCGCTGAACAGTGCCTTAGTAGATTCTAAAGACATCAGTGGTGAAAGGCTATATTCCTAGCACTTAAATGTCATTCTATACGTGGATTTAGTTCATAAACTAGCCTACTGTCCACTCATTGTAACAGCTAGCTCTGTTTCTTTTGATTTTAGATATAAAGGGAGCTTAGAGATCATCTAGGTCATACCCTATATTTTATGGGATGCGGAAACAGAGGTCTCCAGAAGGTAAGCAACGTGCCTGGAGTCACCCAGATGGATGTTAGAGGCAGAGCCAGGACCAATACACCCACTATATCCTGACCCCGATCTGAGGCCTGTGCTACCAGCCTGCCTGACCCTTGTCCTGAGCAAGAGGTTTCTCCCAGAAAATAGTATATGGTCTTCAACTCAGTCAAAGTGGCCTGTCTTAATAAAATCTTACCCTTTGCCATCTTTGTCTGTCCGGGTATTCACATGAACGAGGCTTTCAAGGCTTTTGGCTCTGAAAGCACAAAGAAATTCAAATAAAAAGACTGCATATTGAAATGAAATTGTGTAGTATCCTGGAAAGTCAGAAACAATAAACATTCTCCATGAATTGCTCATTTATTCTTATTGAATGGAAGAGCAGAAATCCTTCTGGGCAATTATGTCTGAACTAAATGCACAATGCTGAGAGTGCTGTACATTTGCTAGAACATTTACATGCCAGAGGATACAACCCCCTTGGAGCTAATGTCTAAATGAATAAGATGAACAATCTGAGAGATAAGATTTTCAGATTAGAGAAAGATGCACTTACCTTTTCTCTGTTTCCTCTGCCTTCAGATTTGCTCTGAAGATACCATCGAAACCTTGATTCCTTTAAAGGTATTAATTAAAAACAAAACTTGTCAGTGGTAACAACAGATGCTTAACTCTATAAGAGCACAGAGAAGTTTACATCTAAGACAGGAAATAGACACTGGCTGGGAAAGATGAGCTTGCAGTTGGCTTTATTCCGAATAGATCTTTTCACTGACTCAAAATTTAAATTGCATTGGACCTTAGAAAAAATTAAATTATAATAGATATAAATTGGGGATCTGAAAGCCACAATAGGTCCATAGATGTGTTGCTTGGGTGCATGGAGCATTTCTGTCTTTAATGTGAGCCAGTGTTTGCAAAGATGGCCAGGACACACAGAAACCTGGATTTTCAGGATCTCTGGAAAATGTCCTACAATACTGGAGTCAATGGCAATCCTCAGGTGGAGGGGAGGGTTGGTGGAGGTGGTAGAACCTTCCAGACAGGGTATTTCCTATCCTAGTTTCCCCCAGAGTCAGTCCTCTTACTCCACACCTGCCTGGCCTTAGGAAACTGCAGAGTCTGCAATTGCTGATCTAAAACCTCCCCTCTTTGTAGAGGAGAGAACTGAAAAGCTGCATATTTAAGTGATAGTTATTGTCAAAACAGGGTAAGAAAAACACATCTCGTGATCCTCAGATCAATTAATCTGTTCCGCATTTGCCTGACTTCTCCTGGTCCCTATTTATCTGGTAGGTTCCAGTGCAGAGAAACAGAACTAACGTTGGACACACCTGTGACATGAGCCTCGATTATTTACTTTTTTTCTCAGTAGATTTCAAGTTATGCAATTATAAAGGATTCAAAATGAGCGGATAATGTTAACTAAGTGTTTTTTCTAATGGTTAAACCTAAAATATTCAGTGATCAAACCAAACTCTCTTTGCATATTAGCGAATCAATATTTCAGGAAAAGAAATGTGGTTACTTATATAACTGCCTTAACAAATGGAGTAGGGAAATCAAAGACACTTTAATATTAATGTCTTTAGGTCTTCATAGCCATTCATAATAATGATGAAATGATGATGATTTCTGTAAGCTTTTTATTCAAGATTTGTAGGATATTTTGGACTAGCCTGAGATGTGGGTCCTTATGCTGAAAGACCGAAAATATCTAAGAAGTCACAGTAAGCAATGTAGTAATAAAGCCAAAGACAGATACTGTGAAATCTGACCTGTTCAGGCTTTTGTTCATTTTGATGAGATTATCCAACTCTTCACTTTTGAAAGAGAAAAAAAACTCACATTAGTAAAGCCCATCCAGACTCAAGGGGTAAATCATCTTAAAATAATTCTGAGTTCTCTGAAATACAACCCACGTCCCACCTTTATCATCTGTGAAAATCTTGATCGTCCTTCAAGATTCTCCTTTAATACCACTTTCTCCAAGAAGCCCTTCCCAGTCCTCCAGTTGAACATAGTTCCCTCCATCTTCGGCACCCTTGAAATATTTGTGTTTCTGCATCTTCTTTATGAAAGGTCTGTTACTGTACCTTACTGCACATTTATGTCGTTTAAATGCCCTGTCCCTACATACACACACACACGTTCATACCACTTAAAATGTAGAACTTCCAGGATTTTCCACTGGATCCTCTTCGGTTTTTAATACAATCAGTGTCTTTCACACAGTAGACACTGAATACACATTTTTAATTGACTCAACATTGACTAATTATGGCTTTGAGCAATGTACTCATATCAGAAAGCCTGGCTTCTATTTTGAATTCTATTCCTACCTCATTTCCACATCAGCTAAATTTGCTAGAGTGTTTCACATTTGAGAACTGCACAGCCCTTTCTACCTGCTTATCCAGGACCAACCTACATCAGCTAACCCCCTCGGTTCAGGAATTTTACTTTAACCACATGGGCTCCACTTTCTCCCTCAAGCAGGCAGCCCTGTGAGGTGGGGTGAAGGTCTCCCAGAAGTGCTCCTAGTGATTTCCTCCTGTTCCCCTCGCAGCATGTCCTCTCCCCAACTTCTCTGCCCAGTCTTCCCACCACTATTTCTCTTTCCTTCCTTATCCAGCTTTTCTGTTCATAAATGTTGGTTCTCTCTTCTTCTTCTTGTTCTAGAATCATATGTTTTCCAAGCTTTCTCAACATTTCTCTTCCTTCCTGAGTCATCGCTGGTGTTGGCCATGGACTGTAAGACCCAGTAACTCAGTAGTTACACATTCAGGCTCCAGGGTCAAGGATACCCAAAGTCTAACCCAGGACTCACCACTTACTCATTGGTGACCCTGAGCAAGTTACCTAACCTCCTGCTTACTCAATTTTCCCATCTATAAAATAAAAATACTAATCATACCCACCTCAGGAAAGAATCAATAAGCTAATGAATATAATAGGCTTAGCATCATGCTTGGCAAGTCACAAATTCTCGCTTTATTTTGGATATTCTAATAAGTAGTGCCCTGTCAGTATGAAACTTTTCATTTAATAAATGCTTGCTGTATTTATTTTTTAACTGCATTTAGAAGCACCTAGGTTTTCATTTAGCCTTAAAGAGATAGAGTCAGTGAGTCACTTAAATGCTTAAAGATGCCTGGTACAATATTATGGCCAGAAGCACTACTGAGGGCAGTCCTCTTGGAAACCCTAAAGAATATATTAAGTTCACAGCCATCACATAGTTGAATCCATTTAGTATTCAGTGATTGGATTGAAGGGGAGAATAAACACAGAAATACAAAAGTCACTGCCTCTGACAAAAAAAAAAAATTGATTAATGCTCTATCCTTGTGTGAGACAAACACTACCCAGTCCCTTGACACAGTGGCCCATTATTGTTTCTCGCTTGAAATTCTACCTTCCAACTCTGAGGCTGCGAATCTGTTCACGTCCCCGAGGGAAAGGAACAGACCCACAAATCCTGTAAATTGTAGCCTCGAACCTTTCTAACTGGCATGAGTCACAGTGATGAGATGATCAGGTTTAGGGGCTGCTTGTGTTTAGCACAAGAAAATTAGCATAAATCATGAGAAGATACTCATGGCAAAGTAAAAAAAAAAAAAAAAAATGGACACTGTATTCCGAATAAAGAACTTGAGCCTTCAAATGACTTTAAACTGGCGAAGGCTTTGGATATTAAGTTTCACCCTCACATTTGCAACAAATTAAATGCTCTTGATCAGATAGCAGTAACACTCCATTTCACAAAGAGCAGCTCAGATAAATAAAGCTATACTGGGTCCCTAAGGAGAGCCCGCAACAACAATACTCGAGATGACTCTGTCAATGCAACAGACGGTTTTCCTGACCCCTGTCCAGCAGGAACATCTCTCTGTGATGAACACACCTGGCTACGGAATTCATGCCTTGTGGCTAAGGAATGGGAACAGGAAAGTTAACCTCGCCGCACGTCTCATTGTTTTTGCCTGATTTACACCAAACCATAATTTCCCATCAGCATCACTTGCTTATCTTTCCCCCTGACATCCCAATCCCCATGAAAAACATTACCTCCCACAAAAATAAATCAATAAAATCAGAGAGCTAGGTACTTAGGTAAAGCAGAAATTGGGGCTCAGCGCCCGTGGCTCAAGTGGCTAAGGCGCCAGCCACGTACACCCAAGGTGACGGGTTCAAATCCAGCCCAGGCCCGCCAAACAACAATGATGGCTATAACCAAAAAAATTAAAAAAAATAAAAAAATAAAAAATAAAGAAATTGGAATGAAACATTCAGGAGACCTTCTCCAGCTTTGGTCAGGATCCAGAGCTCGTATTTGTTCATGAATTTGCACAGAAAAGGCAAGTTTCACTTTTATTTCTTCTCTTCATTCTTTTGATAGAGACTGCAATGTCCAGTAATATTCTCACAGTACCAAATTCTATTCGGCAAGGAATATGTTTGTGAGATTAGGATATAGATGATGGAACATTCATACTTAAGGTTTTCTCACTACCTGTCGTTACTGCTCCATCATTTATTATATGAGCACCTACTTTGCACAAAGCATCGTGTCCACACTGGGAATGGTGCATAATACAACATATCTGCCCTGAGAGATTACAGAGATGATGGATGACTCACACAAATAACATGAAACAAAGCCAAATATGAATCAGTATTGACTAGTGGGGCCCTGACAGCTTAGAGGCAGAAGTCATGTTTTGCTGGATCACTCAGGGATGACTGACAGAAGAGGTGATATCTGATCTGGATCTTGAAAGATGGGTAGGACTTGGATGGATCGGTGTGATGGGCTAGGGGCTAGAAAAGACTGCCATGAGGCATAAACAAAAGCAGAGCATCTGGGAAATTTAGGAAGGAAATGATTTCATTTGATATTGAATTTGGGATAAATATGCGAGTGAAGTCAGAAATAACTCTGGAAAGTTAGGCTAGAGAAGGGTTAGTAAGGCCCTCGAATGAGGTTATATACAGTTAAACAAAAAGCTAGTATAGTGATTGAGCACAATCTTAGGGAAAAAATTCTGGTATTGATAGGCAGTAATGGTTTAAAAGAAAGACTGAAAGGCATAAGTAAATCTGGAGAGCTAACTCTAATAATACCGGCAGGAGTCAGTGAGGGTTTGAAGGGGAGGCCATGTGGGCTTAAGGGGCATTTTATACCGTTAATTCAGACACACCTCTTACTCCCTGGAGGAAGAGAGGGATAGAAGAATCAAATATGATTCCAAAAGCCAGGCGTGCTGGGTCATGCCTGTAATCTCAGCTACTTAGGAGGCTAAGGTGGGGGCTCACTTAAGGCCGAGTTTGAGACCCATCTGGGCAACATAGCAAGACCTTGTCTCTATTAAAAAAAAAAAAAATTTAACAACAACAAAAAAAATGAGTCTAGAAAGATGAGCCTGCAAAAGTAAAAGAACAAAGGAGAAGCTAGGAAATAGCACATTTCCTGGGAAGGAGGTTAAATATTTGAACATGGCCTTGGGCATTCTGAGTAGGGGTGCCGGGAGACAGATGGGAGACGTAAATCCAGTACTGGAGACCTGGAACAAACCTTGACAGCTGAGCTCAATGGCATGAGTGCAAACACCAGAGGAGGCGGCAGCAGCAGAAGTGTCCACAAATATCAACACTATTCCCCAGTCAGCGGTACTTAGCTAGAGACACTGATGTTTTCTTCTTTTAAATTATATACAGTAAGCAGCACTGGGGTTCATTTTGAAACATCAAGAGAAGAAAAAAATAAACTCAAAAGCTCTGAGATCTCACCCTTTGTCAGTTTTCTGAAGTGAAGTGGCCACTTTGATGATGTTGTCAAGATCCTGACTCCTTCAAACAATGAGAAAGGAACACAGGTCAATGACAGCAGAGTTATCTCTGAAGGAGATAAAATTTCTCATCTGTTTTCAGTGAAGAAAGTGATGGTCCATGTGTTGTTCAGGAATTATCAAGTTTAGCAGAATAATAAAATGGTTCTATTCTACCAGCTCATGGCAAACAGAGAAATGTATATGCACAGGACAAACACAGGACAAACACACACAGACGCAGACACACACACACACACCCCCTCACCACTGTCTTTCCACCTGGGTGTTGGCTCTGCCATCTAGTGCTCATTGAAATAACTACACTTGCCCCTGAGGACTTGTATTGCCAACTCTCAAGTTTATGCTAAAACAGGGACACTAAAAAGAAAATCCAGTTAATTGCACAAGTAAACAGAGAAGTAAATTTGGAAGGTTTTCTACTGGAGCCAAAAAGCATTAAATAACAGATCCAAACAATTAATTAGTCTCTCTAAAGCAGTGTTTTTCAGCCTTTTTAATCCCATGGAGTACGCGAACCTATAGTTAAACTTCCGTGGCACGCTTAAATTATATTCATCAAAAGAGGGGGGGACGGGAATCTACTTATGGTGTTTTGAACTTCTTTTGAAAATAATTAAATTAATGAGCATTAAAAATTTCACAGCACACCTAAGATCCTCTCACGGCACACAGTATGGCGCAGAGCACTAGTTGAAAAAAATCACTGCTCTAAAGAGATGAAAATATCTGCCTTCTAAGGCAGTAGGGCAGGTGGAAGCAGCAGAGACATGAAGAGCTGGGGTTCACGCCAGTCTCCCTGGATCGTGGAGAAGCATAGTTAGGAAAATCCTTATAGCTCCCCTGTAATTAACAACTGCATTTCACAAATAATGTCTCATAGAAGGTTCATAAGGTTCCATGAAGAAAGAAAGGATTTTGTAGTCAACTTAAGTTTGGAAAATGTAACCTACTTTTGGTGATTGAGAACCCATGTAATTACGTTGAAGGCTCTGACAAGTCCTGTGGCACAGAATTCTGTTTTCTAAATGTATCAAGTCACTGAACACTGCTTTCACGGAGCATGTGTGGACGTTTTGTGGCACATGGTGCACAGTTTGGGAAATGCTGAGAGTTGGGTTTTAAACTCCCAGGTACAGGCAAACACGATTCTCCCCAAAGGTGAAGAATTTATGTGATGTATGTTTTGAATTGGGATTCTTCTGACAGTCAGAAGGGATAATACAATAAAAAAAGCAAATAAGTTTTGAACTTCAAAAAAATATTTAGTCAAAGAAATCTTTTGACCAAAAAAATTGGTTTATCATACTGATGGGCCTATAAAATAATAATGTTTGAAAATTCAAAAACAGTATCCTTTTCTATTCAAAAAAGAAAAAAATAATAACCAGAACAAATACCAGACTAGATAGGACATGCAAGGGACTGGGTGTAAATCGGGACTATCATGGGGAAACCAGACATGCGAGGAATGTCACTTTCCCCAAAGGCATCAACACCCTTTACGGGCCTCTTCCTGACGCTGCAGGAGGAAGCAGACATGACTTTGCACAGCCATCACTAAGCAAAGCTTTCGTGACACAAGTTCAACTGATCAACTCTATTTCCACGTCTTCATTTATACATCCACACCAGCTACGTCATAGACCTCAGGGCAGGTGCTGGGAATGGAGAGAACAAGCTGGTGCCTTCAAGATGTTTGATCTTATCTTGCTATCATATTTAGATAATTTGGGTTGTTTTCTTAATGTAAAACTTATGATAGAAATAAAAGAAACAAAATTCTATAAGTACTCATAAAATACTTATTACCCACTATATTGAAGTTAGCTAGAAAATTGATTTTATCTCCTTTATTATTAATTGTTTTATATTTTTAAGTGTTCTAATAATGCATACTTTATCTTTACAATTACAAAGATATAGAGATCATCATACCTGATATTTCTTTCAGCAGATGGGTTGGTTTCTGTACGCACTCCTGGTTTAGGTGGACATATCTGCCTGTATGTTTAAAGTTAAAGATGACAGGTAAGAAAACACTTTTCTGTTCAAGTTAAATTTATAAGAAAACATTTTATTTCCAAAAAGATCAGTGTGTGTTGGAACTATACCATAATTTGAGATATCAAACTTTTTAACACTTTGGGTTGGCTAGAATTCAACTCTTTCCTATTTGAAATTCTAAAAAGTCCAATATACTAATTTTCTAATTTTCATCCATCTCTTTTCCTATATTTCTAAATGACTGGATGTATCTAGAAATGTCTGTTCTAAATATGTCCCTGTTTATTTTTTTGGCCTCCATCAATAAAACATTTTCATATTTATCTCTATTAGATAATGACATTATATTTTAAAATACTAAGAATCTTTTTTTCTTATTAGGCAGTAAAGGAATACTTTTCTCTTAGATTTATCTCATTCAAATACTATCAAGATTTATATTTACTGCAAAATCAGTCTGTTTTTCAAGTTCACCTACCACATTGAGAATGACTACCCTGAGCTGACAGAATTAAATTTTACTATGTGAGATTCTGTCACAATTTAGATATAAGCCTTTTCTCTGCTCTTTTTCTAAGTATCCAGTTGACCTACTTACACATTCTTGCTTGTTCTCAAGACGATACATTCAACTACTTTTTGTACTCCTGAGGACATGTGTTAATTACATAGGAAACACTTTCCTCTCATATTCTTTCATTAAAATCATCTTGCTGTGATTAAAGTAATCAGGGTTTTAAAAACAGTCAAGTTGTCCCCATTTTATTTTTCAGATCATTGGTGGAAGAAAGAAATTAGAGTAGTAAAAATAGATTAGAACAATTCCTATGAAGTCTACCTTCTTTTAAATCTAAACAAGTTTACAATGCTAGCATAATTGATTTTAGATTAGAATTTAGGGGGACAAAGGCCAATTAATTTTGGCCCCTTAAAACTCCTATTCAAGTTAAGATTTAATTGCTTCATTCTGTCAGAGTTAGAGTAAAAATAATGTGAGATGAAAAGCTTAAGAAGCTATTTTTAAGAGATAATTATAATCATACAAATAAGAAGTTACAAATCTGATCTATATTTTTAATTTGTTTAGTGAAGAAATATTCTCTTGACTCATTAAAAAAATTATCCTCATATCCTAAGGACACAATTTCAAAGGCCCCGTGATGTTTCACTGAATAGGAATTCAGACCTGGAGTTTTAACCAACAAGATGGACACCCAATGCTGGGTCTTCCTGCTGCTCAGTCAGCACTTTTTAGCTGCAGTTCCACTCCTGAGAAATACCTCTATGATTGTGTGTCCCTAAAGGATAGTTCTACAACTGTGTCTTATTTAAGAATTTTTCTATAATTGTACCTTATCTGGTGTCAAAAAATCACCATTCAAATACGAAGGAATCAAAGGCAGGTAGTCAAGATCTAATGGGTTTGGTCTTTGTTGAGATACCATTTTTTAATCTCACCATAACAGTGGAAATGTGGGATGTACAGCCTTAAAAATGGCTGAAAATATATTAAACAGTGTAACAGGAACATATGGGAAGATTTTCAGATCTTTGAATTAGTTTCTATGTATTAATTATAGAATCACAGTTATTCAAAGCTGAAAAGCAAGTCTGTTGTTCCTGATTTGAAGACAAGTGCATTAGAACATCTTTCAAAAATTGTTATAGTTTTTAAATACATCACAAATCTCTTAGCTTCAAAAAAAAAAAAAAAGATTAAGAACTACCCAAAGGTTTTCTAATATGACTGAAGATTTAAGTGGTAGTGCAAAATTTCAAGGACTCTTCCATTCGAATATGTAGTTTTCAACAGCAAACTAACTTGAAGTAAAGACAAATACAGTTTAATAGGTATATATTTATAGCTTACACATAGGTGAGGATTTTTATATTAGGAACTAGTATATAAGAAGCCTGTGCTCACTTTTGTGAATTTGACTATTGTCCCCTTTATACCTTGAAGATTTATTTGTTAAGAGTAGTAACAGTCATCAGTATTCAAGGGCAAACATGAATACACATAGGCATTGGTAAATAAAATTAGAAAAAGCTCTGCAAGTGCTTCTTTAGTGAATGTGCACATGAAACATACCCATGCTTTGCACAAAGCAAGCAACAAGTCATTCACTTTCATTTCTCTTGAACTTCATTTTGGCAAGATATTCCATAGTGCTACGTCTTACCTATTGTCCCCTCTCACATGGCTAGGAGAAGAAACAGGAGACCTGGGCTTTGGAGGTATTGGAGGGTGAACAGCAGGTTCCCTTTAAAACAGAAAACAACAGTTCGTTTTCCAGTTTACCATGGAAACGGGGTAAGTTTTAGCATCTATTAACGAAATGCATTTATCACCTACACAGAAACACCTCTTGCATCTTATAACCCAATGTGCAAAAGGTTAGAATCCACTAAACTCTAGAGAAGTTAAATGTCTAAATATGAGTATTTTAAAAGTTCATGAAATCAGATTTGTGGAAACTCTGTCCTCTTTCACTCTAGTTTGAACTATAACGTGTTCTTTAAATAGCCTAATGTTTTGCTGGCGCTTCTAGCTCAAGTCCTGGCATTTTGAGTCAGCAGTGCATGAGCACTGTAAATGGTTCTTGAGCATTAACATATAAGCTTCTTTCGGGATTATGTCAACTATCAGGCTGCTATGGAAACAGCAAGGAAGGTTTTTAATTTCAGAGTCCTCATGTTAAAGTTTGATTTGAAGCTTTTCACTAAATCTGTCTTACATTTTGTCAGCATAGGCCAGTTTGATTCAAGCAAAGCATGTGGTATATACTGTCAGCCTAAATTCTCCAGTGAGGCACCAACATAAGTCTCTGAGTTGGCAAGATTTAATGACATAAGAATTGGAGATGAGCAATTAAGTGCATATTGTGGTTGGAGTCAGCACTTTGTCAAAGGCGTGTCACTCTTCCACTCTCCTGCCACTACCACCCCAGTGGTTCTCTCTGAGTCCTCCAGACAAAGTCTGCACCCAGTAAAGACCCCCTGTGATCAGGACCCTATGCACCCTCTGGCTTCATAGCATGGTAGGTTGATGTGTGGTCTGGAGTCAAGTTGCTTAAATGGCCAGCTGTGTGGTGTTGTGTAACCCGCTTCTGCTTCTTCATCTGTAATAATCTTTCTAATAGGATTGCTGGGGTGTTATCAGGACTGAATGAGAATCTGCTTTTATTCAACAAACATTTATTTGGAGCTGTCTATGTCCAAGCTACTCTGAGAGGTGGAGGATGTCCCTGATGTCAGAGGCATTCAATATATACACAAATATATGTCAGAAGAAGAAAAGTGCTATGCCAAAAATAAAAAGGAATAAGGGGATATAGACTGGTGGGATGGGAACCCTATTTTATTTAGAATGGCCTAGGAAGTCCTGTCTGTAAGGTGAAATTTGAGCTTAGATCTCAAGAAGGGGATAGAATCTAGCACACACAATGGGCATCATTAGCTTACAGATGGTTTTTAATGCTTGAAACTGGATGAGATCACTAGGGGAGTCAGTGTAAGTAGAGAAGAAAAGAGGACCAAGATTTGGACTCTTGGGCCCTGCAATATTTGGAGGTAAAGAATATCAGATGGAAACAGCAAGCAAGTCAAGGAGGAGTGGCCAAGAAGACAAGAGAAATAAGAGGGTGTGGCATTGTGGAAGCCAAGTGAAAAATGTTTCCAGGAAGAAGCAGTTGGCCTCACCAAGTGCTGCTGTTAAATAAAATAAAGACTGGGGAGTTACCACGGTTTCTGCAACATGCAGTGATTGGCAACCCTGATAAGAGTAGTTTGGAGGGAACAGAGGTGAGCAAAACATTATAGGAGTGGATTTAAGAGAACATGGGAAGCAAGGAAGAAGAGGCCTGGATGTGGGTGTGTGGCAGAGAAGGGGGAAGAGAGAAACGGGCAGCTCCTCAGAGCTTGAGGGGTCAGAAAGTTTACTCCAGCATGTAGCGTGAGGATGGGAACGATCCAGCTAATCACTACTGTCAGAGAGTGAGGGGCAAATTGCCAGACAGATGTCCTCGAGAAGTGACAGGATTTCAGGCACAAGTGGCGGAAGGGGGTGGAAAGAACCACAGAGAGCCCATTCACAGGAAAGAGGCAGACAAATACAGCTGAGGTATGTTAGTTGATCCAAGGTGGAACAAGTTCTCTTTTGTCTATTTCTGTCTTCCCAGTAAAATAGGGATCAAGATCATTCATTCAAAGTGAGGAGGGTTAGCAGGAGCAGGAGGCATGTGAAAGAGAAAGGGAGAGAGGGAGGGAGGGAGAGAGAGAGAAAAGGAATATATGAAATGTTTTTCTAGGAGAGTAAGTGGACCCAGGAAATAAAACACGGTGACAATAATAGCATACCATTATATGGGATTATTATGTGTCAGGAACTTTTCTAAGCACTTTACAAGTATTGACTAAGTTAATCCTCATAGTAATCCCAAAGGCAAATATTATTCTTTCCATTTTATGGATGAAAACATTGAGGTACAGAAAGTGAAAATAAATATCCCATGATGATCCACTTGTCAGGGCAGAGCAAGGAACACCAGCCCTCCCCATGCTGCGCTGCCTCTCAAGGGACCTTTGGGCAGCCAGGGCTCATGTGAGGTCAGTATTCACAAAATTAACATCCAGTTATTTGCCATTGTTTCCTCTTGCCATATTCAGCTGTTTGGGGGGCAGGAAGACAATAGACAGAGAATCTGATTTAACTAAGTTTAAGATGCAGCCAAGTGAGTGCAACAAAGAGAAGGCTTGCTAAGGAGCAGAAGGGGCAGGTGAGGGGCAATCACAGAGAGGGGGTGTAGGGTCCAAAATGGGCGTGGAAAGGAAGGGGAGATGGAAGAGGTAAGGCGTAGTGATGGTTAAGAGATGGTCAACAAAAGGACTGGTGATTGTGGCAGGGCTGAGGAATACTGTGATCAAAGGACTGTTGGGTTGTGGTTATTTACAAAGACAGGCTCCGTGGTGGGTGAACACAGGAGAGAAGGTCATGAAGGCGGGAGGCCAGTCTGGGGAAGACCCGTCCATGGTGGGTTTTCAATCATTAAGCATCATGACAGGAGGAGGGTTTGGGAAAGGCAATGAGCCTGGTGCCAAGGTCTTCAAAGAATGAGGGTGGGCGACTCAGAAACCTTCAGATGACTTCCAGATGGAAGAGAAGCTTGTAATGGCATGGCTTCAGAGGAGATGGGAATTTTAGTGGGGAGAAGGCTAAAATAGACGGGAGGTGGCAATGAGGAGCAAACAAGACCCCTACCCTTCCTCCAGACCCTGTGATATGTTGGGTGAAGGGGAACCGGCTCTCACTAAGAGGGAGGCTGTGAAAACAAGTTCTCTGGAAGAGCCCAGCAAACAGGTGAGTGGCCACTCAGAGGGGAGGCTAAAGAGCTTTGACAAGGATGTTTGACACACTCAGCAAGGCAGATGGAAGGATTTGAAGGCTCATCATGACATTAGATGGGGTCAGGTTCAGGATACACAGAGCATTATGGGGATGGCCCAGGTGACAAGAAATGACCTGACAGGTATTCCTTTGGAGACCCACGGACATGGGGAGGAAGAACATGATGGAATCAGTTCTGAAGAACTGATTGGCAGAATGCAGCAGTGAGGATCTGGGCAGGGGTGAGGGGGCAGTGAAGCGATAGAGCAGCAGAGCAGCGGGCACAGCAGGTCTCCAGACTCCTGTGTTGATGTGGCTCTGAAGCCAGAGGAGGGCACGCCTGAGCACAGCCTGGCTCACGGAGTGCTCAGTGAATGTCGTTGCTATGGTTGTCATTTTTATCCCACATGAACCCAATGCTGCAAACACTCGCACTTCCTAAATCCTCCCATCCTCATTCTTTCTTCCCTCTGGAGTACCTCCTGCCCCCTTTCACCTGGAGGCTCACCCGCTGCCCTTCACCCTTTGGCTTAGCAATTACTGTCCTCAGTGGTATCCAAAGCGGTGCTGAGCACAGCCCTACATCTTCCCATAGCAACCTCATTCACAGCACGTGTCACATTGTTCTGCAATACACACGATACCTTGTTTCCACAGTAGACTGAAATCTCCTAAAAGTAATCCTCATAGTAATCCCAAAGCACTAGCACTGGGCATGACATACGTGTCCAGTGAAGATATGTTGAGCGAATGGGAGGCAGTGATTGACTAAATTTCTGTGTGGTGGGGAGGAAATAGATACTGACGAGGGGCCTGCAAATGTCAAAATCTGTGCCTGCTCCACTTAGAAGCCCACTGTTGACCCCACTACGAAGTGCCAGAGGTGCAGCAGAATTAGTATGTTGGAATTACTATTTCTAGGAAACATGGAAATAATCTCCCCATCCTGCCTTAGTGTCAAATCCTGCAGTTAAAAATTATTTTGTTTGTAGTAGCACCATCTTTTTTCATAAAGAATCCCCTTGTGTTGGGTATCTGTGTGAGGTGAGAGTCTTTAGTGTCCATGTGTGGATCACTGAGGTCTGTGCTTCCCTCCTAGAGGTAGAGGAAGGGGAGAAGGAGGTGGTTAGTCCCCGGTAATAATGGCTGGGCACAGCACTGGACATCTGAGGACAGGCTAGAGAAAGGGAACAAGACAGAAAGGAGGATTCCTAAAAGTTGAAAGGGGATAGTGCCAAGCTTTGCATATGCCAGGGTCTTGCTGATGGAATGCTAACTTTCTTCAATTTGAGAATATCTGAGGGCTCGGTGGGTAAATACTGCTTGGGTGGGCTCAGGAGGGTACAGGTAGCTCTGAGGCGGCCTGAAAAGTACTCAGGAAAGGAAAGGTGAGTGAGAGGTCATTACACAGGCCAAGAAAGCAGAGAAGCATATTCATTTCTGAGGGTGATGCATTTACACCCCTGCTGGGCCAGGAGCCAGGCGATGCCATGCTGACTTCAATTTACCTCAAAGAAGCTTTCATTTGCATCCCTGCAATGACAGCCACAGATGACAGAACCCAAGCCCTGGGGAGGGGCAGGGATGGGGGCAATGAGAGAAGTCATTCATGCCGTGCCAGGGGCATGATGTGATGCCAACAGGGGGATTAAAATGCAAGCGGGAGGCAGGAAGCTGCAGCCCAGAATGTTTTGAAGAGAAGGAAACAAGAGACATTCACTGGAATGATCCTGATTGAATTCTGCTTCAAGATACAATGTTTAAGCTTGGATAAGTTGACCTCAGTTCTCCTCTCTGCCCTTCCTGACCCCATAACCTTTGTAGGAGCTTTGCCCATTAGTGGGTGCCGTGGTAAAAGAAAGCTTTGGGGAATAAAAA